ACCCCAGCTCCCTCAGCCTATCCCTATAAAGACTTTCTTTCTAGTCCTTTCACCAGTCTTGTTGCTCTCTCCTCTGGACCTGCTCCAGCACCTCAATGTCCTTCTTGCAGTGAGGGGCCCAGAACTGCACACAGCACTTGAGGTGAGGCCTCACCAGTGCTGAGTACAGGGGGAGAATTACATCCCTGCTCCTGCTGGCCACACTGTTCCTGATAGAAGCCAGGATGCCATTGGTCTTCCGGGGCACCTGGGCACACTGCTGGCTCATGTTCAACCAGTTGTCAACCAGTAGTCCCAGGCCCCTCTCTGCTGGGCTGCTCTCCAGCCCCTCTTCCCCCAGCCTTGATCTCTCTCATGTAGATTTTCAGTAGTGAGAAATTAGGTAAAGTGCATCCCCACTGTTCCACTGTTTTATTTTTATGGCTTATTTAATCAGTTAAAGATTGGCTTTTACCATCATACAATGCAAAGGTTAAAACTAAATGTGAGCTTTTACTTTTATACATACCTCTTTGCCACTAGGGACTTTCTGTACAAAGACCACCATCTTACCCAAGCAAGAGAGTTTTTTTCTACGCTTAGTAGGAAATACCTTAACTTCGCTTTTTTTCCTACTTACAGCTGAACAAGCATTACTTTAAAACTGTGTTTTAGTCTTCACTGACCTCACTTCTTCACCAGTAACTTCTTATAGAATACACCAAGCCAAATTCCTTGCTTCATTTCTCAATGACAAGGAAATCTTCAACCATCACAGACAAAGGGAAGATTAGGGGATTCAATAACTGGAGACTTAGCCAACCCAGCTCTCCTGACTCATCATCAGTGCTCCTATGATTATTTTACTGTCCACAGCAATTGCTGCCTAGAGATTTTGCCCAATTTATCATGGTTTTGTCATCTGTGCTCCTCCTTTACCACTTGCCACTGTCTGGATTAAAGGAGAAGAAGCCCTTAAGGTACAATTACCTCCAAAACAACCAGCCAGGGTGATAAAGGAGTAACGTGACCTACTACATTTTGTCCCTTACTAATATGTACTCCACCAACTGAGCTCATGAATTCCACTTTCCTTGGCTCAAGGCCTGGAAACTTGAGTCTTTACCAAATGCCAGGCCTCCCACTGAGGGCAAAATTAACCTCAGTCTACAGGTCAGGGCAGTCTGATTTCCTTGTATTTTGCAAAATATTGCTTTAAGGATACGAGGTTATTGAAGCTGCCTGGGTAGAGGCATCTGAGACAACTTGGCAGGTATTTTAGTTCTGAAAGGTTATTTTATTTTTTAAACAACTCTAATGGGATTATGCAACCTAACAACAGTCCCTTTTTAACTTATCATTGCAACCTCCTCCCTAATCAGATAACCTTTAATTTAATATTTAACAGTAGTTTAGAATTAACAAATTAATTTAAGTATTCCTTCTGACAAAAGATACTATTGTAAGATTAATAATGCAGTGGGTCTTGAGAATATGTAAAGCCCTCAGCTCCAATTTGGCTCTACATTAAATGCTAAAATTGCAGTTCAACATATCAAACAAGAGAACAGTACCTTTGAATTTATATGGATCACTAGCATGCTTCACCTGTCTTTTAGGACCCAGTCTTCAAGAGATCAGCACAGGACCATGTTTAAGCCACCCCCTCCCTTCCTGGTATCCATGGACCTTTCTGCTCCTTTGTGCTGCATCTTTTTTTCTCCTATCACTATTTATGTGCTTTCAGCACCTGTTTCCAACTACTTCTTGGTACTTCCTTCCAACCCTCAGCAAACTTTTACAGTTTAACTATGGTAAATGAAAACCAGTCAGTTAATATTTAGTAAAGAAGCTGGCTAGTACTGAAGAGAAAAAAACTGCTCTACATCCTTTAAACTTTTATAAACCAAAAGAGAACAAAACTGGCATGATCACTTCCATAACAAAGAATTATCTTTGATTCCAATTTTTAAAAAGGTAAACAGTGCAAACCTCTGCTTTTGGACTGTCATTTCTTTGTTAATTGTTTGAGAAACACAACTCACGTCAGCAGAGAAAAACATACACAAAAGCTGCACAGAGATTGTCTAACTTATTCATACCCTGAGCCAAAAGGGCCAGAACATACACTGTGCTTTTGAGAATGAGTTTAAAAGAAAAGTAACTGGTTTCATGATTGCCCAATTTTACAACAGGAACAATGAAAAAAAGATATTCTTTTAAAATTACTATTTTTCTTCCACTTAAAAATTAATTTTCCATGGAAAAACTTCATCCAATATATAGACCAGCTCATCCTTACCTCAAACCCAGCAACACATTTTTATATGCTTTCCTGACCATGAGACAGGTAAACTATAATGAGAAAAAATTGTACTGATTTTCATAGGTTTTCTAACAATATAGGACAGTGTTAAAATATGGTCAACTGGAAATGCCAACTGCAACTTCGATTTCAGCAAAACCAAAATAACTCAAAACTACTTGCACAGAGCAAGAAAGTCTCTTCAGTGAGTTAATACCCACACCTTTCAAACTCTGCAAGATTTTATTAATACCAAACTTATTAATCCACATTGTTCTGAAGAATTCACAAGAAGCAAGTTAAGACTGTGACCATCTGATCCTCTAACCTGAGCACAGACTACCCAGCATGTTAACAGTTTACAGCTCCAGATATACTTAAATGCTGCAGTACAAAATGAGCAGAGCACCAAAAATAATACTAAAAAAAAATCCCCAAACATTCTGTCACTTTCCACCACTCCTATTCATAGGCTTCTAGGCATAAATAAAATGAAACAGTCTAACAAAGCTCATGTGTACACTTTGAAAAGCCAGCAGCAGTCAGAGGCATCTACCTGGAAGGAAAGATGTTCATCAGCTCCTTATTGCATTAGCCAGGGGACTGGAGGAAAAAAGAGAAAAGACTTCTTAAGGGCTGATCATGGCCGCCTCTTACCAACTTACTTGCAGGCTCTGATTGCCATGTTTAGTTCACCACATATTTGGCCTTCAAGATTCTTATTTGTCTGAACAGAGAGGAGAGATTCAAGGTAAGTTAGAGAGGCATAGCCTGTAGAGGACTGACTTTGATGAGGAAGACAGTAAGAAAAAAAACCAACAACCTGCATAGAGGACAGACTACCAGTGCAACTTGAATAACACCATCAGTAGCTCTGGGGGAAGATTAAGAAAAAGAGCAAATATTGAAGATAGTACAGGAGAAAGTATGATGAGATATAACAAGGAAGAAAACGCATGGAATGAAGTAAAGTGAAAAAGATCTATTAATGTCTACTGTCCTTTTCTTGCTAGGTTCTCTTTGAAGCAAGGAGTGACTTTTCTTACACTTCTGCACAGTCCCTGGCACAACGGCATGAGAGTTACCTGCCAGTTTCCAGAGCATATTACAGAAAGAGCAAATACCAACAACAGACTGAGCAACAAACCAGTCTGTTTAACAAGCTTTAAGAAATGCACAGTTTGTTCAGGAACTAGACTGAGTGACACGATGTTCCCAGGCCTCTCCAGGTAATGATTAAGGAGAGGAGAAATTTTCTTCTCTATTGATCAGTGAAGTGGTGGTGCTGGGCTGCAACACACTGTTTGGAAAAAGCATCAGTCAGTTGTGTACTGCTACAATAAGAAACTGTCATAAAAAAGTCAACCACATCACAGACCAAACCAAAGTATCCATGAGAGCACAACCATTATTATTACTGATTACAAACAGTAGTGTATTTTGGTGGTGAAAATACAGTCCTAGATTCACCTGAGTAGGTATCACACCCTCATTCATATCCTGGTCAGCCATTACATTTATAATATTAAGGGAAATGACAGACACCTCAGATCATTGGTCTACTGAATGATAAATAAGGACAGAGTGCTGGAGACATTCCCAATATGGAAATGAAATTCATTAAGCAGCTACTTTAGGAATCTCTGACCTCCTATATGGAGAAGAAACACTTCATGTGCCACCAATAAATATACTGAGTGCAACTCAAATTAATTTTAAAACTTAAAAGGAAAAAAAAAAGTTTCCTCTCAGTACATCTTCCCATTCTGCAATACAAACAGGAGCACCACAAGAGAACACTGGTTACACCAAATCATTACTTGTGGGTTGAGTTTGAAATAAATATCCTGACTGGTATTGAAAATCTGAGTAAACATGAGATACAGATTAACTGCCTGTTGGACAAGTCCATATTCTACACACATACCAAAAACTGGATGCGTACCACACGCACACAAACAATTCCAAACCTAGGCTGTACTGGCACACATATAGTCAAATATTCAACTTAACACCTACAAATGTCAGAACATATGGTGTGGATCACAGCCAATGTTTTTGCTTTTCTACTCTCAAACACACACTGGTGCCCTTGGCACCATTTCTTTGGAAATCTTTTTTGGAAATATTACAGGACTGTTAAGGATTTTCCATATTTAGGCTAATTGAGTATTTTATATAACCTTCTTTACATTACAGGAAAACCCCAAATAACAAGGGGAAACAAAACACATAAGCAAAAATCTCCAAGTCAAATAAACCAGGAAAGATAATTTAAAAATGAGGAAACCTTATTGCAGAAGCAAAACCACTGAACAAGTAAGCTACAAAAGGGCAAACATTCAAACCTTTATTTAGCCAAAATATGGACAGACATAAGCTCTTTACACTTTTTTCTAAAGTAGATTACAATATTGAATGTATTTCTAAATGCCGCATCTTTAACCTCTCTTACCATGTAGACAGACATACCTACACTGGATTTACCTATCATCAGGAGACTTTCGAAAATCTTCAGTTATATTTTGTTGCATTCAACTTGTTCTCATTTATTTAAGGCCGTTGCTACTAGAGTTTTGCAGAAATTGAGTCAGACATAACCCAAACATCTTTAGACATGACAGTCACCTGTCATACAGTCAGCAGAACTTAGTTAAGGTAGGTTTGTGTGCACACACACACACTAACTTATTTAATACCAAATTATAAAACTTACTTTTGTGCATCTGCAGATCGTTTCTGGCCTCCTTGCAGATCCTGCGAGATATCTTTCCCAACACTACTGAAGATGGCATCATCTCTATTTACAGAATCCTCTTTTATTCTAGCTGTTAAACAGACAGGCGCTTCAATTTCTGGATGCTTTGGCGGCACATCCTCTGGAAGATTATCTGTGTTCTGTAAATCCTTTTCAGATCTGTTGGGTTCATCTTGGAAGGCAGAGGGTTTAGATTCGACCAAAGATGATTTTGTTGCAATATTAAACAAGCTTCCAAGAAAATGAAAAAAACCTTCTCGGGGTTGCTTATCTTTATCTGCTGTTTTGATTGCAGGAGTCAAACTAGGAAGGCTATTAGCCTTTTTAATCTCCTCCTGGATTTCAGATTTACTAAGTTCTTCTGTGGAATGGTTCCTCTCTTCATTTTGACAAACCTATGATAAATACAAGAAACACATACAGATTATGTTTCCAGTCTTTTTCCCACATTCCCAAATTCCTTAGTTTGTCATGATGGGACAAGGGATAATGGTTTTAAACTGAGAGAGGGGAGATTTAGGTTAGATATTAGAAAGAAATTCTTCACTATAAGGGTGGTGAGGAAGTGAAATTGGTTGCCCAGGGAGGTTGTTGATGCCTCATCCCTGGAGGTTTTTAAGGCCAGGTTGATTGAGGTTTTGTGCAACCTGATCTAGTGGTAGGGTTCCCTGCTCATGGCAGGGAGGTTGGAACTTGGTGATCTTTAAAGTCTCTTCCAACCTTAATGATTCTATGATTCCGTTCTTTTCAAGAGGTCTGTTGTTTAAAGGTTCATTTTAAGATCAAAGACCTGTGTTCTCTTCTTCTCTTTTTGTATTAAAAACGTTCCTGTTCTACAAAAAGCCGAAAGGAGCACATAGGTTAGAAGACTCACAAAGCAGAAACAAACTACAAAATTACAGATGGAGAACAATTGCTTCAACTTGCAAAACAAACCTGAGGAAGAAACAAGGAACAATTTTCACACTTCAGACTTTAATCCACCCAAGAAGCACAACTTCACTAACAAACCTATATGCACTTGAGAAATGAACAGTTTTCAGACTGTGGGTAAACGCAAGAACACCATAGCAAAACACAAACATACTACAGCCTTAGACGTGGGGTAACTTGCACTTGCAAAAAGAACCTAGGAAAATCAAGAACCGAATTTGGATAAAACAACTCACATGCCAGAGATTAAAACTGCTATCCTTAGCAACCCCACGTTGCACTCTTTGGCCTGCTTTCCTTCAACTCCACAGGCGATTAACTGCACAGCTCTATTACCAAATCTATTTGTAGTCTCACACAGCTCCATATTCTACCATACAGGCAAGGTCCTACAGACCACTATCCCTGCACACATGACCTTCTGAACTGCCTATCACCTGGATGAAAATAATTGGCAGGGCTTTACCTCATTTAAATCACCTATTCATTTCTTCCCTCAACTCAGTTAAACATCTACTGCCAGCCACAAGACAAGCTCTGTTCCTCACCTATTTATGTCCTTGAATTTCCTTGGTGTCAGCTTCTCTTACAGACCCAAGAACTGCTGCCCAAATCCATGCTACTTGTGCAAAGATCATCTGCCAAAAAAGATTATGCAACTTCAATGGTAGGCTTCACTAACATCACGTGCAAGCATGTTTTCAGCTTCACAATTTGCACATGCTTTTTCCCTGGACTAAAATTTTATCAAGGAGCACCTCCCCACCATCCTCACCCTTTGTATTGTGTGCTAATACTATTGCTGCCTATTTTATTTTTACAGTACCATCTTTATAATTTCAAACCCTGTTTCAACTCTGTTTAATTAACCAGAATAAAGTTATGCCAGCTTTTTTCTAAGATGAAATCTGTTCTGCTCAACAGGAGTAGGAAAGGAGAACATGAATAAAAAGTCTTATGCAAATTTTATTTGTGTCAGTGTCTTTGGACACTTTGTTTCATATTGGATAACACCTACCCATCCAATCTAAGCACAAAGCTACTATTTTCATCAGGTCAGTAATCCTATTTTAACTTGAAAATACATTTGTTTCAAGGAACTTAAAATAAGCAAGTGGGCTTATTTGTTAATAGTCTACCTAGTATCACATTAATGTCAAAAAGTCTTTTAATTAACACAGGTTAATTCTCAGGGAACAGCAATTTCTTAAAAACTTGCAAGTTGCACTTAGTCATACTGGAGCAGTGGTCTTAAAATTTCAAGCAGTATTTTTATCACCTTTTCATACAAAAAGTAGATGCAATTACTTAATATTAAGTGATCAGATATATGTGCTGAAAACTGAATTACTTATGTGAGGATAGAAACTGTATGGCACTAATTTGTCCTTGAGAAACACATGCAACCCCTACTTTGTTCATACATGCAAGACACCAAATCACCCACAATTAACTTCAAACTTTCAAAAGTGGGCCAAGTCAAATGCCTGCCCTTTTTCACCACACCTATGACAAATCCCACCTGCTTCCCCACAAACTGCACCAATCAATATGTAACGTGTCACAAAGTGATGCAATCATCCCTGGAGTTTTCAGGGATTTACTACTTTACAAGTCAACTCTAATCAAACCAACATCCCAAAATGAAGATGGCAACAGTACAGCTTACAGATGTACTAGTGTTGGCTGGTATGTTCAGTAGCAGGCACATTATGCAAGTAACATGCAAACCTGGGATGAAGTTCTTGAACAGTTAACTTAATCTCATAAGAGCCAAATATATTGCATAAGGAAATACAAACTAGAAACGAGAAAAAAGTTGATTTCCAAAATTTGATAATACATGAATGATTTACCATAGTAAACATCAAAGTCCTCCTGTCATAGTTTCATCCTTTACTTTGATTAATACCTCAGCATTCTTCAGTACCAGTTTGTAACATAACATTTAGAGAGGGAGTGCATTTCTCCATTGTTCTTTGATTAGTACAATTCACATAAGATTTAAAAGCATATCTTGGTGCAGGAAGTGCACACAATCTTACTGTTTTCTCTGCAGATATAATCATTGTAGACTATAAACATTTCTACACTAAAATATCTGTGAAATTGAGAGCTAAATACATTAACTATAAAAGATTACTTTTAAAAGTTGTAGACAATGTTTACATATTATTTGTTGTTATTTTTTGGTTTTGTGGGGTTTTTGTTTCAATACTTTTTTTTTATTACTCAGGAAATAGTTTGGTTTTTTTCCCATTAGAAACTACGACTTCAAATATGGCTAACTCTCTACATATGAAATTCCTCCCCTAGCATCTCTGAGACATAACACTTATAAAGACTGTGTTACTTACTCGTAAGCATAATTCATGCCCTACGCGAAAAGCTGTTTTGTAGTGTGTTTCCAGAAAGAGAAATTTACTTAGATTTTCCTTCTCCTTTAATCTTCATTTCCTTACTTAACTTTTATTAAATCAAAAGAACAGGAAGTTTTAATATGAAAGGGTCTTTCCATACCTTTAACCATAGTGTCTTGCATAAAAAAAGCCCTGGAGAACATTTACACTGTGCTTACTTAAGGATATATGTGGCTATTAAGTCCCAACACAGAAGCTATGCAAATCCTTCTTTCTTCCCTTCAATACCATAAATCCTACTCTCCATATATTCTTCTTCCTGCTCCACTTTGCTGTTAAAGACAGCACAAGCTATTGGTGTTTTATCATTTGTCCATAAAACCTCACTACAAAGTTTGAATCACTGTTTAGGCATTACACAAAATGAAACTGCTCCTGCTACAAATGTTGAAGTTTGTGTTTTAAGACAATGTCATATTCAAATTACTGAGACAGAAGCACATGATCTGTAAAGCCAGTAAGCTTCTAACACAGCAGGAGCTTTCAGGCACAAGTGCCTGATGAACGTAGCACTGTAATGACAATTCCACGAGCCAACACGAAGATAACTTTCACTTATTATTTCCCATTCCTCTCTCTGAGCTCACCTCTGACAGAAGCACCCAGCAAATTCTCAGAAAAAAAGGAAAGGGCATAGAATATACACAAGGTGATCATTTCCCTAGTACACCCCACCAACTTTCAACAGACAGGGCCTTTAGTTGACCTCGACAGAGCAAGTTGCACCTGTGTTGCAACTGGGCTTGAGCAGTCTGATACAACACTGGAAGAATACCAGTGACTCTCACTTTAGTTCATGTTACTGGTAAAAAAGTAATCCTCTTTCAGTGTCACAGCAATATGAACAAGAGCTTCTCAGACTTACCATGTAAACAAGTTTTTTTGATTAAAATCTGTCAGATTCCCTTTGAGATCCTTGCTGATGCAAGGAAAAGTTTTCCTGCCATACCGTTGTCTTTCTGCTCCTTTTATACACACACCTGTCAACAGTCTTCCCCTTACCTACCCTTTCCCATTCTCTGGGAGCTTTCCTGCTTGTGACATGCTTCATAAATCTTTAATCAGCTTTTATTCCTTTAGCAACTCGTTACTCAAAGTTTCACTGGGCAAGCCCTGGGTAACCTGGCCTGACCTTACAGCAGAGCCTGCTTGAAGCAGGAGGTTGGGCTACATGACATCCTGGGGTCCCTTCAACCTCAATTATCCTATGGTCCTGTGACCTCACATGCAATGAGGCTGGTGCAGAGGGGAAGCTCAGCAGAGCATGAAACAAGATTATGGCTTAAATCAGGTGACCGAAGAGACTGCAGCGGTAACTGAAGCTGCACTTACTCTGCAGTCGGGTTGCGCGGTCTTTCCTTGCTGGAGCAACCGCTGCAGAGAAGCCTGGCAGCCAGGACTCAGAAGAGAAGCCCATGATGTCACGTCTCAAATGTGATTCTTATCTGAGCTAATTTATTTGATGGTAGACTAGGTATGTTTTCCAGGCTGTAATCCACTCCTGACTGTAGCACAAATATATGCCCAAACCCTAATTGCACCTACGCAGTCAGGCACAGGCACAGTGTGAACAGCCCCTCGGAAGCACAGAAAGCAGCTCCAGGAGCATCTGGAGGAGGGATTGCTTTGCTGAGTTTGCTTTGCCTCCTGTACTAGCTGGGAACTGCCACCCTGGTAGCTGCTGTCTCTCAGCAGTTGAGTGGCAAAAGTTCAAATTGCCAGAGGTCCTAATTTGGTAGGGGTTACATCCGTCTGCCAAGAATACAATCTCTTTTATTGCCCTAACGAGTGAATGAAATGAAAACATTAACAGCATTAAAACACAGATCTCTGTGAACAAAGAATTAGCTCCCAGCCATGACAGCCAGACATTTCGGATTTCACTCCCCACAAACGAACACTCATTACAAAGCAGAAACTCCAGACAGCCGCGTGGAGACCTCTCACAGACTGTCTGTCCCGCTGCGCCGGGAGCTGCTGATGGAGGACACCCCGTACCGAGCGGCTGCACTTGTGCACTTTAACCACCCCACCTCACCTGC